GTAGAATCAGGTCATACCGACGGTCCCAAATCTCAATCTGTGCCTCTAGCCAGGCCACGTATGTTTGGTCAACCCTGGAACGATCATCCCACTGGTAATGTGTCCTAAGCCAAGCGGGCGGAGTAGGTACAAGCCGCGGTCCACCAAATTGGCGAAGGACTCGCTCGGTGGCATGATGCTTGACGATATCGTGAAACATCAATGGGACGGAAGAGCTCCACATAACTCGACCGCTCGAGCAATAATCGGGCAAACCAGCTATTAGCTCGTCGCCGTATGGCCTCCATATGAACTATTAAGTAAAAACACGAATCGTAGGTAAACGCAACACATATAAAGACAAGCCAAGTAAACTTAAGTATATATGTACCTACGCACCTTCAAGCGAATCCAAAAAATCCCTGTAATAGGGGAGATGATGTCGAGCCTCGACCTCGCATCCGTAGCCTCGCCTATCAACCCACCTCCTAGCTAAAGGGAGAAACGATGGAGGTGGTACATCCGGAGCGATGCGTGGTAGAGGTGGTTGGAACTGCAGGAACCGCTCCCAGGCCCAAACCTAATATACATTGTGAACGTAAAATTTAAGGTATATTTTTACTATGTCTGTTATAAGCAAGAAAAGAATTCACTATGGTTTCACCTGCAGCAGCGGCAAAAATCCGGCAACGTCCCTCTGGGTGCCCATGCACGCCCGGCACATCTGCCTATACAAGTAACCTAGAACAGTTTCACCCCAGCTGTAACCAGGTAAATCATCTAGCTGCTCAAGATGATGAAGAAATCTCAAGCTAACTAGGTTTTTCGAAGTGTTCGGGAACAATACCCCACCAAACATAAGCAACATCAACAATCTCGTGTACCGGTCGATAAGAAGATCCGGTGTATCATCTGTAATGTCCGCATCCATCGCCTCCAGATACTGCCGGACGGGTGTCAACTGCAAATGACTGGCCCCACTCAATGCAGTCTCCTCCACTGGCTGGAAACCGGTGAGTCGCTGCAATATCTGCAGGTAATGCAATCCCGTATATTCTCTAACAACATGCGGTAAAGCTACAGGTAATCCATCAACCGGCAGCCCATAAAGAACCTCCAAGTCCTGAGGCGTGATGGTAGCCTCGCCGATGGGTAAATGAAACGTGTGTCTCCGTTCATCACCGCTCTATCATAGCCGTGATCAACACCCAGTCAAACTGCAACCAACCGATCTCTATGATCCTGTAGAAACCCGTATCCTGAAGGCATCTAACTATACGGGGGTCGAATGTGTGGTCCCTAATAAACTCCTACATATCATCTATACGTCTAGAGCAGAATGTCTGGGATAAACACTGGCCCTCCCATATATATGAAGACCTATGCTCGGCCTGTAGTAACAGTAGCTCTAACGATGCAGGTCCGGGATGCACATGCGGAACCTCCATGACGACTACTGTAAATTGAACAATATTAATTAAAGTATTTTTCTTTTTAATTGCTTGACATCTTTAAATATATTACAATATATTTAATATTAAAATTTATTCTATATTTTTACTATATTGTTAATTAGGTTGGTATATTTTCTATATTATAATTTTATATTTTATATGTTGGTTTATCATTTTATATGTTAGTTTATTATTTTATATGTTACTTTATTATTTTATATATTAGTTTACTATTTTATATGTTAGTTTCTTATTTTATATGTTTGTTTCTTATTTTATATGTTTGTTTGTTGCTCACCTATTTTTGACTATAATAAAATTAAATAATTAATTTTTATAACTATACATGATTTAATTATTAAATATTCATATAACAATACTTAGTTTGACACATATTGTTGTTTTCTAATATTATTTTCTTACGTTTGTTGACTAGAATTCGAGAGAGTTTGTGTTTGAACTATCATCTTTTTCAGATATTTTTGGGTTTAACAGATAATTAAATGATTAATTTCAATAACTACAAAGATACTACGCTAAAGGGCACTTCATTTTACTAAGCTAAAAGGGCACCACATTACAAATACGGGCACTACATTAAAATTACGGGCACAACATAACACTACAGGGAATTAAACAATATTAAAGTCACATATTAATATATGTACAACTACATTTAAATAATATTAATTATTCCTAAAATAATAATTTGTCTATTTTACTAATCTTTTAGCACATAATTATCTAATCCGGATAAAAATAATAAATTAATTTAATCACAAAATAATCACAAAAATACATATACCACAGTAAAAAATAACTAATTAATAATTTTTATAACAACTAATAACAATTTCTCTATTTTACTAATTTTTTTAGCACACTAATAATATAATCCGGATAAAAAGTAACAAATTAATTAAATCACAAAACAATCACGAAATAACATAGAACACAGTAAAAAACAACTAATAGGCATTTTTTATACATAAGTTTTAACAAAAAATAAGTCGGAATACCTCGATTTTAGTTTTTTGGAAAGTTGAAGATTTGGTGATTTGGAGCCGAAACGAGCAACCCACTACGAGATAACGCCTTAGATACGATGTGGGATCGAGAATCTACACATTCTGTGGGACCGGTGGGCTCCAACCGAGTTTTTTTTTGGTTAGGGGGGTGGTTTTTCTTTTTTTTTTTTTAATGGGGGAAGGCGCTGGTTCGTGTGGTGGGGAAGGAGAATGGCACGTTTATTTATATAGGTATAACGCCCATATATACCGCGCTATAATATAGCGCGGTATATATGGGTGCTATACCTTCCCGCCCATTTTAAGTTTAAATAAAGCGCGATTATTCACCGCGCTATACCTTAACGGACAAATGCATCGTTAAGGTATAGCGCGGTGAATAACCGCGCTATATATATTATGGTGTCGAGTCTTTTTTTTTTTTTTAATCTATTTTGGTCGCTTGTGTCCAAAAGAACCACACTTCCGGACTCATTTTGAGACTGAGAAATTATTTTAAAAGACATAAAAGTGATAGATATGTAATGATGACAAATTTTGAGAACAAACATTTTTTTACTATATAATTTTCTTTTCAAATACTTATGTAAGCAAATTAAAAATGATAGGAAAAAAATATAGATATATTTCTCGTTGTTTAAGCAAATGTACTAAAAAAGCTTGAGAATCGAATGATATTTTGGTAAAATATGTAATTTCAAAGAAAATAATCTTTTATCATTAATTTTGCATAAGAAAAAGGAATTAGAATACACTAAAAATAAGATAGTATCCGTAGTAGCTAGTTTCGAAATAGAGGGTAAAGTTAAAACCGATTTTGTTAGAGAAAATGTTTACACTGTGACCATATCATACCATCTTTCTTATAGATCAATATGTTATTTTAATCTCAAAATAAATGAAATACACTAGATTCGTAAGATGAAGCTAGACATATATAAGCAAAAGACAGGCAAAGTGAAATATGTACAAGTTAAAACAAGAGTATATAGGGCGGTTATAACTCCACTGCAGTGAGCGAAGATATCATATCTTGATCACTTTCTTTAAGTATTCAAAACAAGTGTTATAAACTCTCTACTGTACTTTAATAGTATATCTTTCTGTTTGGAAATATTCTCTCAAAATCCAAAATGTTGGGTGCAGAAGAACCAAATAGTCCAGAAGGTGGAGGAGTTTCATCCTCATCTTCAACTTCATCACATTTCTCGCCTCCTCCACATGAGGCACAACACATGATCGACCAAAATCTACTAGAAAATGGAGCCTTTGATCTAGCTTGTCCCGAGTCCTTCACTCAAATTATGGAGCAAGTAAAAGAAGAAGAACAAGGACAAGAACTTGTTAATTCTGACGCTTGTTCCACTAATTGCACAGGGAATATTGAGCGTAAAAGACGCCGTACTCCTACTGATCAAGAAGAAGGAATTAATAATGACATTGTAGAGGCAGTATCTGAAATACGTAGAACTAATGTTGGTCCCCGGAGATACTATGCTTTGTTCGGTCTCAACACTTCTACTGATGATGAAGCAGAAGAAGGGCAGCAACAGAATGAAAGAGGAGAAGAGTTTGGAAATCAAGATTCAGAACAACAAGAAAGTGGAGAGAAAGAAAATCTTGAATCTGAACCAAACGAAGTAGAAGAGGATAGAAATCAAGAAAACAAGAATGATAAAGAAGAAGAAACAGAGGAATTGGAAGAAGAAGAAGAAGAAGAAGAAGAAGAAGAAGAAGAAGAAGAAGAAGAAGAAGAAGAAGAAGAAGAAGAGGAGGAGGAGGAGGAGGAGGAGGAGGAGGAGGAACAAGAAGAATTACAGGAAGAAGAAACAGAGAATGCGGGAGATACAGAACATAATAGGAATCATCAAAATTCTGAACAACAAGAAAGTGTAGAGCATAATGACAATCAAGATACTGAACAACAAGAAAATGGAAATCAAGAATCTGAACAAGATAATGAAGAGGCCAGCGAAAATGATGAAAATCAAGAAGAAAATGACAGGGAAGGAGAGGAGGAGTCAGAGGTGGACGAAGAAGAAAAACGAAAAGCAAATGAAAAAGGAAAACGTCCAATGTCTGAAATCTGCAAATTAAAATTCATGATCCCTAAATTCTCCAAATTTGAAAAAGGTGGACCGTCAGATACCCCAGAAGGAGATCAAACTCAAGAAGATGATGCTAATGATCAGTTAAACAACGAAGATCAGTACAATGATGATGATGAAGATGAAGATCATCAGGTTTTGGCAATTTTAAAGTCAATCTGGCATTTCAACTGCAACAACGGGTATTTCCCATATCCTACCTCAGATGAACTACATAATCACATTATGGATTCAGTTACCAACTTGAAAATCCTTGGAGAGGATTTAACTAATAAGATCATAGCATTAGAGGATAATTTCAATACAGTTAGGGCACTGGATGGAGATAATCCCGATACGGATCGTCCTATTCATCGAGAAATTTTTAACTTGTCTATGCGATTATGGGGTAATTCTGAAGACCAAATTGGCAATGTTGAACAACAAAATCAGGAATTATATGATGTGAATATAGAGCAAAATAGTACTGCTGATGATCTTGAGGGCTGGAGCTGCTGATAATTTTCAGACATTACTTTAAAACTTTTTCTATATGTACAGTTCTGACTTAGAAAGGTGGATTTTGTGAGTTAGTCTAATATGCTACTTAGCTATTTTTAGAATAGATGAACTGATCATGAAGTGGTAGTTTACCTTGCACTTTTTAGTTCACTTGAAAAATGTAATGGGATTAGGGAACATGAAAGGGCTTTTTTTGTTAAACTGTTTTCCTTTCCACTTCTGTTTGATATTTTTTCTTCCATTTATAGAATGAAAGATACTATTGTTAATGCTTTCAAGGAAGGAGAATGATGACGATACTTTGCAAATAGTTTAGGAAAAGTTAATAATAATACTAACCTTTATAATCATAGTTGCTGGTTAGTTAATAAACTGTTTATTCTATTTAGAAGGTTTGATTTACATGTTTGATTTTGTCTTACA